CAGCCTCACCTTTAGAACTTAACATTAAGTATGAATATGATTGTCTCAGCTCTCCATCCCATGCCTGATTCAACAGATCTCATATTATGCCTCCTTCTTTTTGAAAGGGTCATGGTTGAGAACCACTGCCACAGAGGTCACTTCCAAGTTCACCTTCTGCCTTCATTTCACATCACTGCAGCCTGCCTTGCCGCAGCTCCTTCATCTGTAACTTCAAACCTCTATTTTAAGAAGTGTTCATCATTATTGCTACTATTGATTTTATGACTGTTGTCACTTCCAGGCCAGCTTAGGCCAAGTGACTAAGCCAATTCTTCCCCATTTTTTTAAGTAGGGAGACACCTTTTACATAGAAAGGGATCACAGAACCATGAACTCCGTACATGTTGATTAAGCAAACATACGACAAAAACGTTACTATGAATTCAAGTAACAAACTGTATTTTACTTCTTTCAGAACTGACGACACACAGGTAGGTCATTTTCTTTCTTCGATGTAAAGATAATGCTTGTGTTCCCGATGGGGGCTCCATCTGAGACGTGCTCCCCACTCTTCTCAAAACCTGAGTTCCTCTCGCTATGACTCCCTGTGGCAGCTGCGGCGACCTACCTCGCGCTGCCCAGACATGCCGCCGCTCTTCCGAGCTGCAGACCTGGCACCCTGCGCCATCTACCTCAAGTATCCTTTTGCATCTCTGCCTAGAGCATGGAATAATGAATGCTAAGAAAGTCATCTTTTTCTTTTCTTTTTAAGAGAGGGAAAGGGGTTTGGGGGTGGGGGGCAGAGGGGAGCAGAAGGGAGAGAGAGAGAGAATCCTAAGTGGGCTCCACGCCCAGGGCAGAGCGCAACACAGGGCTCCATCTCACAACCCTGAGATCATGACCTGGGCTGAAATCAAGAGTCAGACATTCAACCGACTAAGCCGCTCAGGGGACCCGCTAATAAACTCACATTAACCTGCTGGACTGAGGTTAAGATACCATTTAACTAAGCACCCTGCTAAATAAGAATAACAACAATAAACATGTTTTTGTTTTTTTAATAGTTAGAATCAGGAAAAGACAGGCTGGGATGCCATGAGAGGGAGCTGTTTGAACAGAGGTCATAGGGCTGAATGGACTCTCTGTGGAAATCACAGACAGACCCTCAGGAGCACCAGCAACACCAGCAGGTACACAGGAAGTCCCACCAGCCAGGCAGGACGAGCAGACAATGGTCCAGCCAGGATAGACAAACCCAACTTGTACCAGCCCCAGGCTCCACAGCAGATAACAACAGAACACCCCAGTTATACCTCAGGGATCATTAGGGAAGGGGCTGCCCATCCACTAGGCAAAATCAGTGGGGATGGGAAAGGGCCCACCCTGACAGGAGAGCCTTCTCTACTAGGCTTAAGAGACCAATACCACTCACCACATACCAGAGACTGTCTTCCTGAGGAACAGGGAGTGGGCACAGACTGAACCTTTTTACCACAATATGCTCCTCAGCCTTTTACCTTATTAGAATAACTTAACTGGATTAAACTAAAATTATGGGCTTCTTTCCCTTCTTTCTGGCTACCAAGCAAGATGGAGGCTCATGTGGACAATAAATAATATATTGCTGAGAGAAAAAATGAAGATATGACATTTTTCTTTACATGTCTGGGTGTAGCATGAGTTACCTTTGAGCAATCCTCTAGAACTCTTTAAATAACAGCTTAAATGTAAACTGTCCTGTAATTGGAGAATACAGTTTCATGTATTTGAGGTTCATAGACTCAGTCCTTTCAGAGCCCTACTGCTCCCTGGTAAGCTGGCAGCTGCTGTAAGTGTGGTTAAACTGAAACAGCCAAGGTTCCTCACAGAGTAAGTCCTCCAATTTCTCACTAGTCCTGAAGGTACGATTAGGCTGTCTTTCCCTATGCTGTTACTTCAGCATTTCTAAACAACACCCACGCCCCCAGCCCACCCACCCTCCACAAAATTAAAAAAAAAAAAAATTAAAGAAAAGAGCTAGAAAAAAGTCCATTCTGGATGACTTGATTTGGCTTTCAGTTTGAATAAAATACCATGATTGCTATTTTTTCTCCCAGAGACGGTACTCTCAACACTCCGTTGAAATTATCTACTCAGTTTGGATGTAAAAGTTATTTTGTATAGAACGGGATTTTCCCCCCCTCAAATTAGCCCAGAAACCTGCAATAGATCCATTTGTCATCCTGCTTTAAGCCTTCTTTCCTAAATGGAAAAAAAAAATCCACTTTAAAAGGATACATTTGTATAGAATTGTGTTTACATAGAGACGTTAAGTGGTTTCCTCACATAATTTTACAGAGATTTCAACAAATTAAAGGGACCTAATGCAGAACCACATATACAGACTTTAATAGCCTTCAAATATCAAAAGGACCACAGGACAGGATTTTCAGCTCATGAATGGATGATGCAAGTTAATGAATCAAGAGGACCTGAGAGGCCATTTCAGTAGAATGGATAAAAACAGATTAAGAGAGCAGAATGGGTAACACAGAACTAATGCCACAAAAGAATGGAAAAATTTTTGGAAGCAAACAGCAAGCACCATTAGTTCTGAAAGTCGGACAGACAGGAACTGGAGACGTTGTGTAAATTTTGTAGTCAAAGTAGGACTTGGGCTCCCCCTTGAGGGGTGGGTAGAATTTGACTAGATAAGGAAAGGGGCCCAGGAAGGAGCCGAGCACCACAGGGGCGGGAGGGAATAAGCGGGTGTGAGATGGGGGTTAGAATGAATGGGGATCACCAGATGAGAGCAGAAGTTACAATGGGAATCACATGCATCGAGCCACAGGAAGGCTGAGCCATCACAACTGGAAGAGGACAGTGTCCCTAGGCACCTTTTCTCTAACCATAATTTCTTCCAAGTCTGGATAACCTCAACCTTGGCTTTCCAAAATTTAGCCAAAAATTTTACCCTAGTTTAGAGGTTTGCTTATAACTGTAGCATAGAAAAAAAAATTATATATTTGTATATTATATACACATATGTTATACATGTGTATACACCTATCTCCTGCCATTAGAGACTCGTTGTGGTTCATTAACTTTACCTGTTTATAGTTAGTAGTTATAATATGGAACAGATGGATCCATAGCTCCCCAGTAACAATTGCCCCAGAGGAATGACCACTGCCAATGTGCATGTTCACGCTACCACCAATAAAAAAACCTGCCGATAAACAAGGCACGAGTGATTCTCAACTCCAGAGGTGTGACGCTGGTGCTCACTGATAGGTATGACAAATGACTGCAGGTAATCTGGAACTAATATTAGGAACTGAATTTTGAAAGTAATTTTTAGATTCTAGAGGGGATTCAGGGTTTCCCTGTAACAAGGTCATCTCCCCCAGTGGCATTCCAATCCGCTGCCCGAGTCAGGGAGAAAGCAGTGGAGCGAAATCATGAGGACTGCCTGCTAGCTCATTTCAGCTGCCCTCATGCCCCTGGTGACCTGCATGCACCCAGGGGGCTGGCCCCTCCTCCTTCCTGCGTGCAGGACGGGAACTGGTGAAGGAGAGCTGCTAGAGAATGCCAGTCCCACAGCATCAAAGCGAGTCACAGTCATCTCTAGCTTCCAAAGCACACGCTCCTTCTTGGAAAGCTTATTAAAGTTTATTAAAATGCTCCTTGACTTTTCTCAGGAAATTCTGATCTCTGTTAAAAGCATCTTACACTGAAGAACATCTTCTGTGCTTAGACAGTTGAGTGAAGAATTACATACGAATTTTGCTTTACTATTCCAAGGTCCTCTATGTGCACTGGTGTTGGTAAAGTCATAACCATTTCAGAGTCTAACATTTTTATAGCTTCTGTTTATAGTGTCTTAGAAGGGGAAGTTGGAATGACCCCTATAACTCCTGGAACAAACACACTCTGGCAGGTGTTAGAAGAGCGGGTGTTAGATCACATGGGCATGGATGCAAACCCTAACATTCCACTCACCACTCGTGAGACCTGGGACAGGCCACCTGACCTCTGTGCCTCACTTTCCTCACTTAAAAATAGTGACAATAGTCCTAACTTCTAGAATTCAACTGAAGATGAAATAATACAAAGCAGTTAGCATAGTTCCTGACATAAGATATGTTTCTACAATCAACCTATTAGCATGGTGTCTCATTAATATCCTAACACTTATTTCTTTTCTAGAAGCCTGGATTAACTATCCAGTTTTGTGGGTTTTGTTTTGTTTTGTTTTTAAGAGTAACTCATCTTTGTGATGACTGTAGGTGTTTCCCCTGGAACCCACTTTCCTACCCGTGAGATAAAAATGACACCACTTGCCCTGCTGATCTCACAGACCTGAGAGTCAATAGTATGGGAACGTATTTGGAAAACTGAATATGGAAAAATTATTGATGGAAAGTTTTAACCTGAAATTTACTATTCCAAAATAAGCTTTTCATGAATTCCGTGGAGAGACAAAGACGTGTCAACAGCACCATATCATGACTCAAGCTCTGTCCCCAAGGCTTCGCTAATGAATTTTAATTCATTTTAATCAGATAGTGATTCACTATCTTCATGTGATTGTGATTCACGTGTTTTAATTTGCCAAATGTTGCTTCTCGCTTATTTTCAGAAAGGTCTGTTCACTGAAAGCTCTCTTTCTTAGGAAAGTCATGATGTGGAGAGCAGATAATATGTCAGTTATTATTTTATTTCAACCTAAGCCAAATCATCTTTACCTCTAATTTAGATTATTGCTCATACAGTGATGATTAAAGTAGATGGAGAATAGCACAGCTGGCCAGGCATCCGCTTCTGGGATTCGAATACCACTTCAGTCTTTTTTTTAGCTGGATTTAATCTCCAGTCGTTTCTTTTACCTTTCTGAACTTGCACCTGAGAAATGGGAACAGGACAGCTATCTCTTAAAGGAGATGGTGACCTTAAACAGCAGAGCACAGTCCCAGAAACAGGAAGTGTTCTCTAAGTTGAGAATAATTTTATATCAGAACAAAAGAACATCTACTTACAGTTCACAGATGCCAGCTCTAGCTGGAATGAGAGGTACAAGTTGCAGTAAAAGCTTGACACCATTCTGCCATTCTTCTTCCCTTTCAAATTCACAGTACAAGTAGCTACATTCATCAGAAGAAAACTGGTAGAAAACATAGGTATCTTGAAAGTATAAATTCTGGTCCACTGTTGGAAACAAAAAAGGGGAGGATCTATTTTTTAAAGTCTATTATTTAGAGAGTCATAAACCAAATAATAAATTAAAAGCCCTGCTAATTATTAGGGAGAATCAAGGGGTAGGACTATAATTACATCGTCTAAGTCCATTCATGCTCACAATCCCACTGAATTAAAAGGGACTTACTGACCAACCTATTTTTATTACTTGAGGCTTTAGCCAGCATATTCATATGGGTTTTACGATTCTTCTGCTTCACAGACAGGTGAAATCAGTAACAATTCAAAAAGTGGGGAGAATTTCTGTGTGTCTCAAAGCAAACAAATAGATTTAATTAATGGAGTGATACACAAATACAAAACTATCCCAAGTTTTAAAGCCGTGGCTCTCAATCAGGGGCAACTGTGACACCCAAGGGACATTCAGCAATGTGTGGAGACATTTTTGGTTTTCACTACCGGAGGGTGCTACAGGCACCTGGTGGGTACAGAAAGTGACACTGCTGAACAGCCTATAACGCACAGGGCGGGTTCCTACAACAGAATTATCTAGCTCAACATGTTAGTGCCACCAAGGCTCTTTTAAAAGGGATCAAGAATTGGAGACTTAACCTAAAAAAATACTGACACAAATTTTTTTGCTCACCAAAACATGAGACTCAATGAGCAAGCTGGTAACATCCCTCAAAGGTAGTTACCACTTTTCTAAATCAGAGTATCAGGTGCTGGGTATTAACGACTCACTGAAATTATAGCCACATCCCCATCTGTACTATACTGGGACTTGGATAAGACTTTCCAAACCTTACTATGCTCTCTGACCCTCAATATTTATTATCTATGGGGACAAAGGAACTTCTGAGTGACCAACTAGCACCAGCATGATGAAGCTAAATTAAGACTCTGAATTGCTTAACTTCTAATCCTTTAATTCCCTGGGCTCAACTAAGAAAAGCACTATCTGCCATCTATTTTAGTTGCTAGTTAACATCAATTTTGCGTTCTATTTAAACAGCTAATTTTCATAGGTCATATCTCTAATTGTTCATGATTAGTCAATTAAAAAGGCATAACATTCCACTCATAAAATCAGTTTCTGATAATTATTTTAAGTACAGCTAGATAAATCACACATTTAGAGCAACTAAAGATGTCACTGATGAAAAAAAAAATTGTGAGCGGGCTTTTGAGTAGAGGAGAGGGTAAGGGAAAGACGCTTAGACATAGTAGTCTATGAATCAGCAAGTACCTACTTGTTTTTACAAAAGGTGTGAGAATTAACAACCAAAAGATGACTGGTCATTTTTGTTTATAAAATGTGAGAGAACGCAAATATTTACCTGTGGAAACAACTTCCATCCAGATTGTAACAGCCTCTAGAAAATCAAGTAAATTTTGTTCTGGTAGCTTAATAAAATAACACTTCTATGCTTCACAAAACATGTAATACTGACCTGATAACATAATTCCCATATCCAGTAGGAGCTGCCAGACCCCTATGGCCATAGATCTGCACTGGACAAAAGGACAGTGTTCTAGAAGCCAGTCTACCAGCTCTGACCCAACACAGCTCCTCCTGAACAAAAGGAAAATCATTCATAGTAAGACATTATTGCCACTCATTTGCCCAAGAATTGATATTTAATATTATCCTTTTCAAGGGACTCAATAATAAATGAACAGGCAACTCTTACTCATCTTTCTGATTTCAGCTCAACTATAACTTCCATAAGAAAACTTAGAATCACACCTTCTTATGCTTTTGCTTCAAATCACCTACCATGTAGTAATTGTACATCTTTCTGAATGAATAATATCAGCTTCTGTCACTTCAGAATCATTTTCAGGATATCAGGGACTACAGACATAACTCACTGCTAAACCTCAACAGTGAGAACATTCCAGGCACAAAGCAAATTCTCAAAACATGTAGTTGAACAAATGAAGGAATAAATGTAGTGAACCTTTATATAGATAATGCTTCTGTCTTGGTAAGACAAGTACCTCAAGGTGATGGTGATAAACTTCTGTTCAACTCTTTGTAGATTTTTATCTAGCCTTTTTGAGAACAAAGTAACTCCAAGAAGATTACACAAAGTTAGGACCACAGTGAGTGGTAAAGAGTTTTGTTTGCTACTCTCCAAACACATTAAATCTTAAAATTTGTCTCAAAGAACAATAAATATGACCATTATTTAAAAAAAAAAAAAAAGATCTTATTTATTTATTTGGCAGAGAGAGAGAGATCACAAGTAGGCAGAGAGGCAGGTAGAGAGAGAGAGGGGGCAGAGAGGCAGGCGGCGGGGGGGGGAAGCAGGCTCCCCACCGAGCAGAGAGCCCGATGCGTGGCTCAATCCCAGGACCCCGAGATCATGACCTAAGCCGAAGGCAAAGGCTGAAGAGCCACCCAAGCACCACCACGACCATTATTCTTTTTAATATCATCTAAACAATCTAGCTAAGCAGCCTAAGTCGTAAACTCATAAACCCACAAACCCAGATGTGTATGATGGATTCCACTAACCACACACACAAAAATATCCCCTGTAATCTGTCTTAAAATACACAGCTATATTCGAAACATGCCCCAATCTGGGCATTATAAGCAGTATTTTCATGCCTACTTTTTCATCTTTATCAGCCTCAGCTGAAAACCCAAAAGAAGACAACTTGCTGAAATACAGTTTTCATTTGCAGAAATTTCACTGAAAATCATTCTCCCTTATGAAAATGTCACCATTTATTTTTTTCAAAGATGCATCGTGTAAATGGTTGTCTTTATTCAGTATTTGGTATTTAAGGACCAAAACACATCAACATTTATTTTATTCCTAAAACAGAAAAATACTGCTTATTTTTTGTGACTGGCCATAGCCATCAATACCTAGAAATCACACAGTAACCAACAATGTGAAGAAATGCCATGAGGCCCTACATTTTCGGGGGTAAAAGGAAAAATAAACTTTTGTGCTGAGATATTTGTTTTGTGGTTTTGGGTCTGTTTGTTTTTGTTTTTAATGCCCAACATGGGGCTTGAACTCACAACCCCAAGATCAAGAGTCGCATGCTTTACGGACTGGGCCAGCCAGGCACCCCTTTGCTGAGGTATTTGAACAAATATTCCAGCTTTAGATAAAGCATACATTTTGGGGGAGGGGGGAGTGTCACTATTTGAAAGATACTCTAAGGCAATTAGGGCAAAACCAGACACATTTAGTTGCAGGTTAGTGTTAAGACATTAGAAAGATTAACTGTCAAATAAATGGATGTTTTTTGAAAAAGGAGAAAACATCACAATAAACTAGGCAATCAGACAAAACAGTCAATATTAACTTCTAATTCTATAAGACACCTTTCATGTTAAAGGCTCAAAGTGTTAAAGAATTCCTCAACACCTCTGTCAATTAGCCAGCATCTTTGACCTTGTAAAACACTTTTATCCTATGGATTAAAACACTGTATCATCATAATCCCTATTCTAAGAACAATCCAGTCCTCAACCTGCTCTCAGCATCTGACCACCCAGAACAGGACACAACCAAACATTTACTAAGCAAACCAAACTGCCAAATTGCAAAAGGTGGCTAGATGGGTGAGTATGTTTGCCTTGCTCACAGGCGATGGAGAAGAAGTGTCCTAGACTGAGGCTTCTCAAAATTGTGTTTAGGAGCACCTGGGGGATTCGGTTACTGTGTAGATTCTTACACAGTGTGGCTGAATGGGGCCCAAAACACCCTGGTGACTACAAAGCCCCAATCCGCCAGCTCTAGCTTCTCACTGGGAAGGGCTCACTCTGCCTTCGGGAGCAGAGCTGAGTCCACACACTGCAACATATCGCCAGAACACTGCCATGACAATAACAGTTCATTGGAGCTCCCCACCCCGGCCAGCAAGCTATGTTTCAGGTGCTCGGAATCCCCTTCTCCGCCCCCAACTTTCTGACGTTGTGTTTCAAATCTCTTTCAACAACCCATCCGCACGAGGGAAAACCCCACTAGGAACAGAGAGCAACACTATGATTAATATCACCAAAGCAGACAGCATGAAGTTAGGGGCCCCTGCACTGCACTCCTCTCCTGACTTGCTGGCCAGGGCCACAAGAATGCAGCTACCATACCTAAAGCTTACAGGACTCAGGGGAGAGCAAGGAGGAAGAAAAGGGATAGACGGAAGGGAGCGATCTCAACACCCAGTTCTACCTCCCAGGTATTTTCAGTGTTGTAGCGGATCCAGAAACTGTTTGAGTACATGTAGATCTAACTGGAGCTGCACTATGAGGCAGGAACATGTGATACGGAGGTGATCAGCTACCAAGCTAAGTGACTGCTATAACATAACACACAACATGATTTCAGCTCCAGTTTCTGGTCTCCTTCTGTCTCTAGTTACATTTTTAGCAATTCATTCATGGTACTGCAGACAGAAAGAACCCTAATCTCAAATGTAAATGGGGTGATGGTATTTAGAGACTTACTTGAAGTCTCAGAAACCAGTATGATTTTTTCTAGAGTGCAAAAGGAATAGAAAACATCTCAAAGTTTTGAAAGTAATTCTCATGTAGCACATGGGGACCACTTCACCTCAATTTACTACCAGACAAAGGAAAATGACTCCTCCTGGGCAATCACATCTGCACTGTCTTTAGACCCCGGGCACTAATCAGTCCTTATATTGTGAAAGACAGGAAGTTCTGGTCCAACCACGGGGACTCTGAAATAGCACAGCACATGCTCTCTCCCCATTCAACTCCCACCGATCCCTAAATCTGTTCTAACTTGGATAGATGGTTCTTTTCCATGAACCTCATTAACGTACATCTCCCAATGTTTTTTTCAATCTCTATCCATGGAGACCACGTAGAGCACTGAGAGCAATGACAGGTCTTACACATAGACTTGGGTGGTAGCTAAAAAGAATCACAGGAGCCTGCTCATGACTAGACCCAAAGCTTTATTCAATCAGTTTTTATTTTTTTTAAATGAAAAATAATTAGATAAGTTTAAAGTTGATATCAACTATTAAAAAAAATTTCAAAAGGCTCTATGTGAAGTGGTCCAGCCATGAGTGCAACTGCTGTTCTCACCTGTCATGTCTACTTGGCCCGGACTCTAAACTGAAGGTTCTCAGACCTCGGACTATGAATTGCTTACAGAGGGTTGGAAGGTAGGGGGTAAGATTTTTCAAGAGGTTCATGAGTCCATATATACAAAAACATGCTTTCTCAACAGAATAGATCATGTCTAACCTAGGTCATATTTTTCAAAACCTATATATATAGTAATGTGGTTAATTTAATGTGGGATTTTCGGTCACATGGGCGGCTCAGTCAGTGGAGCATCTGCCTTCGGCTCAGGTCATGATCCCAGGGTCCTGGGATCAAGTCCCGTATCTGGCTCCTTGCTCAGAGTCTGCTTCTCCCTCTGGCCTCCCCACTCCGTTTTTGTGCTCTGTATCTCTCTCTCTCAAATAAATAAGTAAAATCTTTTAAAAAATTTAGCATGGGATTTTTAAAGTATTAATTCACTGTAGTTCTCCCAGCCTCCTCCCTCCCTTGCTCACTGGTACCTCAAATTCTGCCAAGAGTCTGCTTAGAAAGTAGTTGGTAGCATGGGATAGTGATGAGAAAAGAACATTAAGGAATTATCTAGGGTACGGATAATAGTTACATAGGTGTATATAATAATAAAAAATTCTTCAAGCTGTACCCTTAAGAATTGTGCATTTTAAGTCATGTCTCAATAAAAAGGAGGTCTTCTTACTCAAAAAGGTTGGGAATCACTATACCCCAAATCCAGGCCATGATGAAATTTTTCCCAAACTGTGACAAAGGGAAAAAACAGGAATATTACAATGAGTTTGTGATAAAGCTAAATTTAGTTAACTTAATGAAATGTCCTTATTCTGAGAATCTTTCCTACCATTTTTAAAATTTATTTATTTATTTGGGGGGGAGGGGCAGAGGGAGAGATGGTCTCAAGCAGACTCCACTCTGAGCGGTTAGCCTGAGCCAGGGCTCTATCTCATGACTGTGAGCTCATGACCTGAGCTGAAACCAAGAGTCAGGTGCTTAACCGACTATGCTACCCAAGTGCCCCTTTCCTTTTTTTTGGGGGGGGGGTGTCATTTATTCTGAGTACTCTTCCTATTCTTTATGGTATATTGCAGTCTCATTTCTGTAAGAAAAAATGATAATAAATTTTTTCTTTTTGTTTTATTTTTATAATGTAGTTTTGGTAATTTTTGGTATGGCTTAGTACCTTGAGTTGATGAAATAAAAAGCTCATAATTCACTTTTGTTTTTTCTTTAAATGGCTCAATGAATTGAAAACGTGTCCTCAACTTTCTAAGTGACTATTCTCTTAGTCCGGCTGTACTTTAAAACTGGGCATTAGCCCATCCATCTACTTTCATACCTCTGCCCTTATTAACAAGCCAAGGTGGAGAAATACTAACCCTTTGCCACCTGCCCTTCCGCTTCCTTGCAGCGCCCAAGGAGGGGCTCATCCTCACCTGGCAAGTTAGAGCAGAATTCCCTCTCCCATTCAATTTCCGAAGAGTCCTCAAAGACCCTTGATAAGGTCCTTGAAGAAGGGACCTATGCTTATTGAAGTCCCAAAGCAGCACATACCCAGTACAAATATTAAAAAACAGCACATTTCAGAGGAAGCAGAGCAGACTCTCTCAGGAAGCCATCCACTTGCACCTGGAGAGTCCATACCCTGACTTCAGAACCAGGAGTCTACCGTCTAAAGAGAAAAATCACCATCAGTACCCCAAATAGACACTTCAAACAAACAAATCCACCCAGTAGTGAAAAGCCCAGCTCTCTGGATCAAGGTTATGATTTCAGCACATTTTTATTATTCAAGGAGAATTTTTGACAAGGTGTTAGAAAACTGTGTTACCTGTAAAATCCCTTGAGGTTCACTCTGTCCTTTATCAGGTCAGCTGCCTGAACGATAATAATATTCCTCAATGCTCTTCCTGCACAAGAAGAATTCTCTCCATAAATCTAAATGGAAAAAGACATTCTCCATAAATTTACAATAATATGACAATTTGTATGCTGCCAATAGCATACTATATTAAAAAAAAAATCATGCCCACATCCCTAAGTTTAACAACACTTTAGCCTACGTAGTTACAGACCAACTACTACCCATTTTATTTTTGTTATCGGTCCACTTGTGCTCTTACGTGACAGTAACTATTTTCTAAATAAACTGCTTTAACTATAAATAATTTTTATACCAAGTTTCCAGAATGAAATTTTTTTTAAATAGGGTTTCTATCAACACAGCAAACTGAAGCATATTTATACTACATATTACTGTGCCATATTGATAATGCATTCATGTCAAAGTCTTGGAAGATGGGAAAATACATTTTCCTAACGAGTGAACATCTCACACTGTGACACGATGTGATGGGCTGCTGTCTGCTTTGCTTTTAAGCTTCCCTCTGCTGCAGAGCTCATTGTTAATTCTAAGCACCCTGGTTTCATCTACTTCATGATTCCACCTAGCAGATAAAAATTTTACTTAACTTCCTTTTTCATCCTAATTCACCCATACGCATCTCTGATTCTTAGAGGATGAAGGATCCAGAGAGGTCCACGTCCTACTTTATATATTACCTCCTTTCTCTGTATGTGGCACGTTCCTCCACAGTGCAATGCTGTTTCACAAACAAAGAAAGCTAAGTAAAAATGAACTGTCTTGATGCTCGTGAAAATTAATATATACTGGGAATGCACACGATATCTGTTTACTTATTTCCTGGTGAACTCTTTCTGCAGCTACACTACTTTGCACCTATAAAATATTTTATATCTTCTCTTGAAGCAAACCAATTAATAGTATATTGACTATGACTTGACAGGGAACATTTCAACCCTATCCTTACACTTCCCTAATATTCCTAGTGTCACTTCCTAAACACAACCTGATGAGAAAGTGTGAAGGGCAGGAAATGATTTTTTAACATGTTGTAACTGTATATAAAGCAAAACAAAACAAAACCAGCAACAAGTCAGCTGAACAGAAAGAACTACCCTAGAGTGAGGGAGGGGCTGAATGGGTGATGGGCATTAAGAAGCCACCTGGCATGACAAGCGCTGGGTGTTCTATGTAAATGATGAATCACTAAATTCTACTCCTGAAACCAGTATTACACTGTATGTTAAGTAACTAGAATTTAAATAAAAATTTGGAAGAAAAGAAAAAATACTACCCTAAAGGAGGGTCAAGTCAGCTCACCCTTGACAGGTGCTGACAAGGTATCAATGCTCATTCACTCAGTCTTTCAAAAACCATCTAGTGAGGGCGCCTGGGTGGCTCAGTGGGTTAAGCCTCTGCCTTCGGCTCAGGTCATGATCTCGGGGACCTGGAATCGAGCCCCGCATCGGGCTCTCTGCTCAGCAGGGAGCCTGCTTCCCCCTCTCTCTCTGCCTGCCTCTCGCCTACTTGTGATCTCTCTCTGTCAAATAAATAAATAAAATCTTTAAAAACAAAAACAAACAAAACAAAACACACACACAAAAAAACATCTAATGAGTGGCTCTCAGACCCCACTGCAGATGCTGGGGATACTGTAGTGAACAAGGCCAAAAAGTTTCAGACCTCACAGTGCTCACAGTCTCCTGTTACTCTTTAAAAAAAAAAGAAAAAGAAAAAGAAAAGAAAAAAAGGAACTCTTTGTCAAATGATTTTTAAACACAGTGAAGGCTCCCCATCTTTTTTCAACAAACCTAGAAATATTCTACTAATAGATAACTACAAATAAGTCCCTCTTACACCAAGTTTTAAGTATAAAATATTCACTCTTTTAAAAATGCAGCATTTCTATTAATACAGCAAATTGAAAAAATATATATTTAACTCTGCCATATTGATAACACACTCATATAAGGGCTTGGAAGATGGGAAAATATTTTTTTCCTATCTGGTGAACATCTCGTACCATGACACAATTATCACAGCATTTCAAAAAATTTCAGCTGTGTTATCCCCAGGTGAAGGAGACAGCATGGGAGAGAGCATGTCCAGGAGGAAAGGGAAGAGCTGTAACTAGAGAATTCTACATTAGGACTCATAAATCCCTGTTTCAGAAAATGCAGTAAGAGAAAAGAATCGTACCTGGGAAGGCGTGTGTTCAAGGTATGGATTGGAAATTCTTCTTGATAGAGTCTATTTTGAAAGAAAGAAGAGGGGAAAAATTAGAACTAAACAAATCTTTGTACCAGCAGGGTCAATGTCTACAATGCGGCGGGTCCAGCAGTCATCCAAACCAAAAAAATGTGCCTCAACCTCAAGTCATGGGCCATAAAGGATTCATGTCCTTATTCTCATTCAGTGCAAGCATCTGGTCACCATTCATTCCAACGGGACAGGTTATTCCATTTAAACAGCTCCCATGGGGCGCCTGGGTGGCTCAGTGGGTTAAGCCACTGCCTTCGGATCAGGTCATGATCTCAGGGTCCTGGGATCAAGCCCCGCATCAGGCTCTCTGTTCGCAGGAGCCTGCTACCCCTTCTCTCTCCCCCTGCCTGCCTCTCTGCCCACTTCTGGTCTCTATCTGTCAAATAAATAAATAAAATCTTATAAACAAACAAACAAACAAATAAATAAACAAACAGCTCCCAACCAAAAGGATACAACTTTAAGGAGGGCCACGAAAAGATGGAGGTTTTCATACTTGGGATTTTATTCTCTGTGTGATTTGATTCTATTTCTCCTTTCCTTTTCATTTCCTCTTTCCCCACCTAACGCAGACTCCCATCACTGTACATCTATACCACTGCTTCAGCCTCTCCATGATTTCCCAGACCTCTGGTCATGCACCCCAAAGGCCATCCTGCAAACCTCAAAACTGAACAAAGGTCCCCTGCTTTACAGTGGGTCTCTTACTGCTTAGGGAGTCCGCCCGGCCACCACGGGCTGCTTCCAACAAGTTTCAGTATTCTCCCCCCAACTTCCTACAGGACAAACCTCCTCATCAGAAAGAGCTCGGCACTCCCACCTGCCTCTGCTCACACCACTCTCCACACTGGAGAGCCCTCCATCTTCCCTGACGCTTCCCTGAACCCCACTAGACTTCGAAGTCCGGGTTTAGTGCAGTTCGCTCCTAGGTGAAGCTCCTCCCACCTGCCCCGGTACACTGGGGTTTGGCCCTCCTGCAGCTCTGTTATGCCGTACAATCACGTGGCAGCTCCCGGATGCTCTGCGTGGCTGGCTGGCATTCTATGTGTGCATTTGCCCCAACTATCTCCACAAGCTCCTGGAGCGGGTGCTGACAGTTTACACTGCTTTGCTCTCACAGCATCGAGCGCATAACCTTGCAAAGAAATGTTTACTTTGCTATTCACTTATTTATAGATATGTACATCTCTGTATCAATTTAGTAAGTTAGGTTACTTAATGATTTGAATTGTAGCGGCTCATTTTTCGTACCTAACGATCCAGTAGGCAGCACCATCACCCACATATGCTTAAGCACAATAGAAAACTAGTATCATTTCCCATTGTGCTTTGGGGAACAGAAAAGAGAAACTAACATTTATTGAGCTCCCAACCTATGTTTAAAAGCTCTTTACAACTCTATTCCAAGGCTTGCTGTCTTTTGAGATCCCATCCTTTTTAGTCTACCGCCTCCACTTCTCAAAATCATCGGCTGAATTACAAAACACAGCCTGCCAGTCATCACCTTTCAGCATCTGAACCTTCAACCAAACCTTAGTCTAAGGCACAATTCCCATTCTTCATCCTCTCCACTCCACATGCCCCCCTGTTACTTATCTTAATTAAACTGAAAGAAATATAAACTCTTTCCAGAGATGCCAATTGGTTTACTCTGCTAAAGATCTGCAAAGGCTTCAAAGAAAATTAAATTTACGAAGGTAGACAGGCCATTTTTAATTCCCATGTATTAAAATAAAACACCCACCCACCCCTTCTGGTGTGGTATTATACACTCTCCCAATCAGCCCTTCTCAGGCCTTCTGTCGTCTAAGCCTATGTAATATATTCACTTATTGAAATACCAAACAATTTAAAATTTGCATATGCACTAGCTTTATCATTCTAGGATGAATCATCATAAGTGATTTTTCTTCCCCTAAATAGAGAGACTTTTAAAAGTCAATAAGGCAGGCCAGAACTGACAGTCTTTATTACTCATCTAATTGCCTGAATAGGCTCAGAAAAGCAACTACTTCACATGATTTCGTTAAAAAAAAAAAAAGAAAAAGAGAGAGAGAGAAAGAAAGAAAAGAAAGCTTTTAGGTAGAAACAAGTTCTCAAGAACCAGGTAGAGGCACATTCACAAAAGAAAGCAAAACATTTCCTTTCTTTCGGAGGCCAACCTAAATCTGGCCGTCTCCACACTAGTGTTACACTCACACAATTCTACTTCACAGAACCTTCCCATGGATAGCTGGATTCAAAAGATTGGTAAGGTGAGTAAATAAAGCCATGAGATTCTTCCTTGCTGACTAGATAACAGATAAGCTACCAGCCCACAGGGAATCGACAGGAGCAACACAACAAGAACGGCCTTTTCCAGAACACAATACCTACATTTGTTGTCAGAAACTCCTGTGAAGCGCTCTCCTAACTGGTCCCAGGAGGGCTCTGTTTCATTAATGCTCTAGGACAGCGGCTCTCAAACTCAGCTGGGTTCCAGGAAGCCCCAGAGCTACCCGCAGAACTCTGTAAAGTTCGGATGTGTTAAACTTAAAACAACTCTCCTAACTATGTGCTTTAGAGACTTTTTTTTTAGTTGTTGATATTGACCCAAAATAGCAAGCGTCAAAGACCTGGAGAAAAAAGAACATGGAACAGTCTATGCATGACCTCCTTTTTAAGAGGTATTAGGAAATTATGTAAGTTTGTCAGAGGAACATAGTGGGCCAACTTACAAGAATCTGAGAATCACTGCTCTGAATCACCTCACAGACTGCTCTCCGGCATTTAACCTGAAAGCATCTATCACAAGAACACCCTTAAAAATGCACCCCTCTCTGTTTTGATATTCTTTCCTAATATGTCATCAGCTGTTTGCATGCCTTCTTTGAATCTCCTGGTTTTATTTCTCCTCTGAGCATTCCAAAGCTTCATCTAATCTGTCTGGTAGCAACAAATTTCCATTCATTTCTCATTTACAAAGCACCTACTGAGCTCCTGGCCAGGCACTGTGGGTACTTTCAGAAACATACACAAGTACGTGATGCTGTTCTTAATCTAAATCCATTTACCAGAACATAAAGGATCTATTTGACAGAGATCACAAGTAAGCGGAGGAGAGGCAGGCAGAGGGGGGGTGGGGGGAGGCTCCGTGCTGAGCAGAGAGCCCGATGCGGGGCTCAATCCCAGAACCCTGGGATCATGACCAGAGCTGAAGGCAGAGGCTTTAACCCACTGAGCCACCCAGGCACCCCATAAACATAGAGGATCTAAAGAACACTTTAAACCCATGAATTCTTTTACTTGATCCTCATTTCCTATCAGTTTATAATCTTGGATGGCTGTTTCCAGTGATACAGTGTCCTCCTTTAAATGGCTCTCACTATTGGGGCACCTGGGTGGCTCAGTGGGTTAAAGCCTCTGCCTTCGGCTCAGGTCATGATCTCAGGATCCTGGGATCGAGCCCCACATCGGGCTCTCTGCTCAGCAGGGAGCCTGCTTCTCCTCTGTCTCTGCCTGCTGCTCTGCCTACTTGTGATCTCTCTCTCTCTATGTGTCAAATAAATAAATAAAATCTTAAAAAAATAAATAAATAAATAAATAAATGGCTCTCACTATAATATCTCATAATACAATGCCCAGGTGAAATGATTTTTTTTTCCCTTTATTTCCAGCTTCTTAGAATTACTTCGGCTACATGCAATGATACTTTCGTGAAAGACATTATTTCTACCATAGAGAGAAGACTGGTAACAATACAAATGAAATTAGATTTTAATTCAAATTTATTTCTTCTCCTTTCTGTTTTAGTGAACCATGGAAAAGGAAACCCTAAATGATTCCAGGCAAATATTTTTCATATATTAAACATGTATTAGAAAACTGCAACCCTTTGATATTCACAAACTTCCAGAAACAAATAATGGCATAACTCAAAGGGTAACTGGTTAGTAATCATGTATTACCTTAATCTTTTTTTAAGTTAGGTGTCCACTGAAGTTAAATTATAATGGTCCAAGATGCTGGGTCTGAACCAAGCACAGAACTCATTCCAGAGTCAGTGAGAGTATCCTACTATATACTTACTAGTATGATAGACTTACGGCACATTTCTTACTAGCTCTTAAAGGACATGCCTTAATACTCTCCTTAGATTGAACTAATACCTAAGCGGCTAAGGGGAGAGAAGAAGGAGAGAAGGGAGAGCAGAAGGAGAAAGACCGAATCATTTCAATCCCTGCAAAAGTATGACCTGCTCCATTTCAAAGAGGAACCAGCAAGAACTACCAAATGTATTGATGCCTTGAGAATTCAGTTACTGACATGACTCTCTGTCACCTGCAGCCACTGCCCTTTCCCTATTCTGGGCCATCACGTAGAAGATGAAGACATCACAGTGGAATCAGTGCACTTGCTTCTCTCATAAACCCAGGAAACCAGAAAGCTTCCGAAGTTACCAGAAGGCCCCTATGTAAAGAGATGACTACTGACTCCAACAATAAGGGTTGTGACCGAGCAGGCTGTCTAGTAGAGTTCTAAGCCTATGAGTCCTTTTTAAGCCCCAGGATAGACTTCTAGCTCAATCAGAGCTTGATCAAGGTAAAAGGGACCCAACCCCAACCAGTACGTGGGCTTGAGAATTCCACAGGATCACAAGTCAGGCATGACGCAAGCCAGAGCCAACTGCTGAAAGGGAAGCATGGGGCAGGGTGCCGCCACCCTCCCGCAAGCTCCAGGCCCACCACCACGGCCTCGGGGCCCCAACGGATGTGCTCCCACCAGTCAGTCACCACCACAAAGGCCATTTGTGATAACATCTTCTCAGCACAGCCTTGCCATACCAACATCAATCATGTTCTCAAAATTGCCCGTGAAGTGTTAAGAAACATAGGATGACATGGAAAGTGGCAGAAATGTTTACTAAGCACCTCCTTGGTCTTTAGCACTTTCCCATAACAGTAACTGCACCCAACTATTCACATTTTTACAGACAAGAGGCCTGAGGA